GGAAATGCCCATCTTATTAAAAATAACATGTAGTATATCAAAGACACTTGAGTGATAGTTTCCCAAAACAAAATTGACATCATACCAAGAAGTTGAGTGACAGTTCTGTTGTTTTCCACAGTCTAAGAAAATAGAAGTGGGTGCCACACTGGTGTGAGTGAATGATTCAAAGTACAAGAGAAAGTTGTAGGATTTCTCTCAGGGGTTGTACAAAATAAGAACATTACCTACATGGCACACAGTGGGAACTTGTTGAAATGCTTCTGTGCCTCTGAGTAGGTGTCTCATCTTTTCCTAGAAAGTTCTTTAACCCAGATGAAAAAGAGTGTTACTGAAAATGCTGACTCTGCATTCTCCCCCCTAAGGCGTGTCTAATTTTGCACCACACAGCTGATTGGGACATGACTGCTCCACATCTATAGAAAGAGAAACTAACAACAGCAAAAGAATACGTGTTCATAAGAAAAAAAGGCAGGGGCTAGAGAGATGGCTCAGTCAGTAAGTTGTTGCCATGTAAGCATAAGGACCTAAGTTTGATCCCCAAGAACCCATGTGTAAAAAGCTGCATGACATATTACTATAATCCCAGCCCTGGGCACGCAGAGGGAGGAATGTCCCAGGGATTTGCTGGCCAACAAGTCTAACCTAATTGGTGAGCTCCGGTTCAGTGAGAGATGCTGTCTCAAAAAATTAGGTGGAGTGAGATTGAAGAAGACAGCAGACTTGGACCTCTGGCCACTACACGTGTCCTTCCAGAAGAATAAAGACAAAAACTTCATGGGAAAAAAATGCCCCAACTGTATTGGCTCTGATTACTCGGCAGAATTGCACCAATTCCCTGGGTCTGTTAGCTCAGTGCTGACCACTTTCTACTCAGATATGCTTGACTCTTAATACAGTTGACCAGGTTAGAGTATTGTTTCCCCTAGGCTGGAGTCTACTAGACTGCCCACTTGTGTTCTTACAAGACAAGAAGTTTCTTTGAACAGTTGATATAATTTTTTTCATCTGACTGTCATATGCTTTCAAGCTCTGTAATGCATACAAAATGTCACACTAACATTTAAAGAAACTAGTTTTTCCACGCTCTTTTTAGTGTGTTTAAAAAGGTATGTCCTGGCTGGGTGTGGTGGCACATGCCTTTAATCCCAGCACTCAGGAGGCAGAGACAGGCGGATCTCTGTGAGTTCAAGGCCAGCCTGGTCTACATAGTGAGTTCCAGGACAGCTACAGGGAGACCCTGTCTCTTTGAGGGAAAATAATATGAAGACTACCTTTTTTTTTTTTTTTTTTTTTGTCTTTTTGAGACAGGGTCTCCCTGCAGCCCCAGCAAAGCACTTCTAGATAGTACCTTCCAACTTCCCAAGTGCTGGTAGTAAAGGCGTGGGCCACCATGCCCGGCTGAAGACTACATTTTTAAATAAGAGTATAGGTTGTGTTAGTTTTATTTTTTATACTTACTTTTTTTTTTTTTTTAATTGTGTGTGTGTGTGTGTGTGTGTATCTGTATTCTAGGGGAAGGTGTGGTTGATTGACTTTAATCCGTTTGGCGAAGTCACAGACTCACTGCTGTTTACTTGGGAAGAGCTGACATCTGAGGTAAACCTAAAAGGTGACATCAGTGAAGGAGATGCTCAGGAGCAGGTAAGACTAATTTTAAAGAGATATGAAGGAAACCTTTTCAGTTCACTTACTAATCTCTTGCTTATTCAGGGATAGGCAGTGATCTGGACCATTAGGAAAGGGTCTAGGCTAACATAGATTTACCAATAGCTATTTCACCATCAGAGTGATAACAAAAGCATGTTCATTGTTAGCATTCTTTTTGCTTTGAAAGAAATAATGATCAGCATTTTTCTAGTTTGCATTTGTGTGTGTGTGTGTGCGTGCGTGTGTTTGTGTGTGTGTGTGTGGTAGTGTAGTTGTTGTTTGTTTTGTTTTGACTTTGTCTATCATGATCACTTGGAAGACTCTTCATACCACTGTTCTTCTCTGGCTGGTAGAGAACAGTGGCCCATGGCCTGCAGGGACTCTTCACAGGGTGGAAGCCACTCATCCAGCTTCATGATGAGTGGAATGTCATGCCTTGTCTCCACTGTTGGGGGGGCGGTGCCTGGGGAGGGCAGTGCCTGGCGGGGGCGCCCACCTCCTCGAGGTCCCTCACATTTTCCATCTGTTGACTCCTTCCTTTCCTCTCAAAAGATCATTTCACCTCCTCCACAGGAAAGGCGAACTCACTCAGCTCAGTCGTCGGCAAACCTATGTACCTGCCTGCTCCCTCCTCAGTCTGATCCTTCTCTCTGTTCAGCTTAGCATTTTCTCCATCTCTGCAGTTCCTGGATGCTAGTTTTACAGCCTCTTCCTTTCTGCCTACTCTTATCCATGTTCAGCCATGTTCATGTAGAGTCCATCTTAAAAAGATACCATGCCAGGCCTGGTGACATGCGCCTTTAGTCTCAGTACTTGAGAGGTAGAGACAGGTGGATCTCTGTGAATTCGAGGCAAGCCTGCTTTATAGAGCAAGTTGCAGGCCAGCCTGGTCTACATAGTGAGTTCCAGGCCAGCCGGAGGTACATAGTGAGACCTTTCTAAGGGAAAAACTCTTTCTGTAACCCATTTCCTCACTCGGTTACACTCTTCCTTCCACCTATCTTCACAGCTGACCTTTCCTTAAACAATCTTGTGGTACTCTTTTCTATTTGTAAAAGTGATACATGCTTGCCTGAGGAGCTGTAAGCAGTTCATGGTTCCTGGGGGAGAGGCTGTTGTATTTGTCAGTGGTATAACCACTGTAAGTTGCCCTTGTTCAAATAAGAACCCATGCTTATGTAAGTGATCTTAATTAAATGCAGTGCGGTATGTAGTCACTGTTGTGAGAGACAGCCCTTCTCTTGCTGACCTGCTTGGCAGGTGCTGTCCTATTCCTATCTCACTTCTCTCTTGCTCTCCTGTGCCTCTTTCTGCTTTTCTAGCTGCTTCTTTGCCATCATGAGGAGCACGTTTTCTTTTGCTCTTCCAATATTTTCTTTCACTATTACTCTATTCTGGACCCTCTTTGGCCCTTGCTTTGTAGCTCTGAGTCAGATTCATATTTACCCTGTTGTGGCTATTGCCAAAGCATTTCAAGTAGGCATTGGTTTGCCTACATCCTGTGTTCGAGTCAGGTTTCTGATAATGTCTTTCCTATCCTTGATGCATCTGTAGGGCTTATCACAATGCCAGGCACTTAATGTTTCTCATATTAACTAGTGAAGGAATTTTATCCCTGCTGGTATCTTAGGGTAATGAGCCATTAAACTTGAAAGACTAGGAAAGAAAATGTTATTTAATTCAGTGGGAGTCTTGCAAGGCTTCTATTTTTGGATAGAAGCCAAATGTACAAGATTAACTCTGCAATGCAATA